GGGAGGAGCAGAAGGCCCAGTGCTCCCAGGTCTTGCGAGAACCCGTCAGCTCTATTCCCAGCTCTCACCACTGAACTGGTTTGCCCATGTCCTTGTCGGTCATGCTGTTGACTCTTGATGTGTGTGTCCTGTGTCCTCAGCACTGCGTACATGCTTGCTGTTGACATGAACGGCCCAATTAAATGATGTCTATGTGGGCTTCCCAGGGGGCTCAGCGGTAGAGAATCCACCTGCCAATGCAGGCGATGTGAGTTTGATCCCTGGTCCAGGAAGATCCCACATGCCTTGAAGCAACTAAGCCTGTGCACCACAACTATGGAGCCTGTGCTCTAGAGCCTGGGAACCCCAACTGCTGAAGCCCGTGCACCCTGAAGACTGTGCTCAGCAACAACAGAAGCTACTGAAATGAGAAGACCTCACACTGCGACTAGGAAGCAGCCCCTGCTCACCATAACAGAGAAAAGCCCATGCAGCAACTAAAACCCAGCATAGACAATAAATAAATACATAAATAAAGAAAACTATATAAAAAAATGATGTCTATGTACGGGGGGAGGGAGTCCCCAGAACATTTCTGGGAAGCCAGGGTACCAGGGAAAACCACTGAAAGAACCTCAGAGGTCATTTATGACTCAGCCTACAGGCCTTAACTTCACAAGTTGGCACCCAAATACATCTTTTTTTTAAATTGACTTTGAGGAAGAGGAGTTTTAGCCAATTTCCTCCCCTGCCAGCAGAGGATTGGGGGCAGAGGTCAGAGCCATGCAATCAGGATCCATTACACAAAGCTAAATCAGGAACTAGAAGGAACTGCTCCCCGGCAGCTCCGTTGCCAAAAGGGATGGTTATCTTTCCAGGAAAGGCTGAGGAAATCCTTTTCTGCCTTGGGGAAGGCCACTTGGTGGAATTAATCCCAGGTGAAAGTGGGAAGGAGATGAAGTGAGTTAATATCAAGAGGGGATGAGGGGTAGAGAATGAACTGAAACCAGATCCAGGCCCTGGACACAGCTGCGGCCCTTCCCCCACCTCCCTTCCCAACCCCCTCTGGGGTTTCCCATTGTTACCGGAGACAACATCCTGTTTCCTTTACTTGCCTCACTGTCCCAGGCCCCTGGAGCCCCTCACTGTCTGCAGGGGACAGGGAAGGGACAGAAGTCCAGCCCCAGGCCCAGGATCCAAGGATCTCACTGTTGGATGTTCGGTGATTGTTTTATATGGCAGAATTAGAGTCTAAACTGTTACCAACTCTTTATTCCAACAGCTAATCTTTGCTTCTGCATCTTCACATTCCCAATCATGAACTCTTGAGTCAACATTTTACTTAAGAAGACAAGGACACGGGGGCTTGTCCACAGTTTCAGAGGATCTCACATCTGTGTACACTGAATTGGGAGGGATGGATTGTGACTTACCCAAGGTCACAGCAATTGTAGATCTGGGTCCGTGCGTGGTGGGACCTCTAAGTTTCTCTGGAGATTACATACTTTGGCAGATCCCAGAGAGAACCTACTTCCCCTCCCTTGGGCTCACCGTGGTCAGTTCCTCCCCTCTGAGTGGCTCTTTCCAGCTGACTGTGGCCTACAGGGGTTCTGCACCCATCCTAGAAATGTGTTCAGATTCACAGAGCTCTGGGGCTCAATAGTACAGGCTCTGCAGCAAGCAGGCCTGAATTTGGAGCCCTTGACAGAATACATACTTATTTATTCTTATGAGAAATATTTATTGCTGAGCACTGGGGACAGAGCAGCAGACAAAACAGACATAAGTCCCTACTCTCATGGAGTTTATATTCTAGGACACAGACAATCAGCAAGATAAGGAAGGAGGATATACAGTTTGTGAGAAGGATTTGCTGAGGAGGTCAATAAAGCAAAAGAGAGGATGGAGAAAAGACAGGATGGAGTGGAGTGAATGTCCTGTTAAATAGAGTGGATGCATAACATTTGAACCAAGATTTAAAGGAGGTGAGCGATGGAACCATATGGATGCCTGAAGATAGTGCCTTGTAGGCAGGATCAATGGTAGGTGCAAAGGCCCTGAGAAAAAAACATGTCTGGCACAGTTAAGGAGCAGCAGGAAGCCAGTGTGGCTGCCACAGTGAGACAGGCAAGGACTAGAACTTGGAAGCCAGGGCCTCAGAGGTCACAGTTAAAGACTTTGGCTTTAATTCTTAATGAAAAGGTAGTTTAAGCAGAAAAAGGACAGGATCTGACTCATGTTTTAGAAAGATCACCCTGGTCACTGTATGGAAAAGAGAAACAAGAACACCAGTTAGAAGGCTATTATAATAGTTCAGGTGAAAGATGACAAACAGAAACCTCAGGATTTACTAATGCGGGTAGTGAACTGTGATAAGAAGACAGAGGTGAAGGGTAACTTCCAGGATTTTGGTCAAAGTAATTAGAAAGAGGTAGTTGCCTCTTATAGATATGGGAGAGCCTGGAGGAGGGGCAGGTCTTGGTGGGGTGACCAGGTCATTTATCCTGTGTGATCTGGGGTAAATTGCTTAACCCCTCTAAACCTCAGCCTCCTTATCTGTACAAAGGTCGTAACAGTCATTTCCCTGAAGAGCAATGGTGAAAACTGAGTGAGATCATGAACTCCTTGCCTGCTCCTTGGAAGAAAAGCAATGACAAACCTAGACAGCGTATTAGAAAGCAGAGATATTACTTTGCCTTCAAGGGTTCATATAGTCAAAGCTATGGTTTTTCCAGCAGTCGGAAATGAGAGCAGGATATGAGATGAATGGATATGAGGGCAGGACAATAAAAAAGACTGAGCACCGAAGAATTGATGCCTTCGAACTGTGGTGCTGGAGAAGTCTCTTGAGAGTCCCTTGGAGAGCAAGATCAAACCAATCAATCCTAAAGGAAATCAATCCTGAATATTCACTGGAAGGACTGATGCTGAAGCTCTAACACTTTGGCCACCTGAATGCGAAAAGCTGACTCATTGGAAAAGACCCTGATAATGGGAAAAAATTGAGGGTGGAGGAGAAAGGGACAACAGAGGATGAGACGGTTGGATGGCATCACCAACTCAATGGACATGAGCTTGAGCAAACTTTAGGAGATGATGAAGGACAGGGAAGCCTGGTGTGCTGCAGTCCATGGGGTCACAAAGAGTCAGACACGACTGAGCGATTGAACAACAACAAAATGAACTCACAGGCGTGACACACTCAGGTACTTAATACATGTCCCAACCATAGTCCAGGGAAGACACTGACGGTCACAACTCCTCTGGAAGGGACAGGAAGGAGAGGAAGACCACATCTATACATCTGTACTCTAGCTGCCACCCACTCCCTGATTCCTCTGGGTAGAAGGACAGACCTTTTTGACAAAATTGAAAGTTTTCTTCCTTCAAGGTTGTTGATGGTAGAGACGTGGAGATCATGATGATGCTAATGGTGGGTGGTGACAGGTTGATGATAAACGATCATATTCCCATGTCCTTATTCTACAAAACACTTTTATGGCCATTATCTCATCTGAGTCCATCAAGGCAGAAATTATACCAATTTTAGGAAGTAGAAGAATGAGGTATTTACCTTATGTACTATTTAAAAAATTTTTTATTTTATATTGGAGTATAGTTGATTAAGAATGTTGTGTTAAAAAAAAGAATATTGTGTTAGTTTTGGGTGTACAGCAAAGTGATTCAGGTATACATATTGTATACCTGAATATATACATATGTATACATATACAAAAAAAATTCTTTTTCAATTTTTTTCCCATTTAGGTTATGGAGCATCGAGCAGAGTTTCCTGTGCTATACAGCGGGTGGTTGTTGGCTATCTATTTCAAATATAACAGTGTGCACATGTCAGTATGAGGTATTTAAAAACAAAATAAAACAAATCTGGACTGTCTCTACTTGGCTATCTCACGGAACTCCATTTAATCTTCCAGAGAAAAATGTGGACAGGGTCCTGACGTGGGTATGCCTCTTCCCATCCCTGAGTGGGAGTTCTACCCCGCTGTGTCCAGCTATGATATGAACTCTGACCCCACTTCTCCACTCCCCAGGAGACAGCCCACAATGCCTGCCCTGGTCCTGTTCTCTGTCTGGGCTGCTCTGAGCATGCCCGGTGTGTGGGTTGCAGCCTTAGTGCTTCTGAGGTTTGGGTCAGTGGGTCTCATATATTGTCCCATTCCAGTTACTCCTCCCAAGTATTGAGGTAACAGATGAGGTGGCTGGAACCCAGAAGAATCAATGTGCCCCAGATTACACCATTAGAAAGTGCAGTCTGGGTTTAGACTCTGAGGTCTGCATCCAGTAGGAGAAATTACTGCATCTCTTCTTCCAGCCCAGCTGCCCCCTCCCTTCACCTACCAGATACCAGAACACAGCTGTCTCTCCCTTGCTCCCCCAACCCAGGCAAGCTGTTCTGGGTGAGGCTGAGCTGGGCGGGGCAGCCCTGTGCAGTGTTCAGTGAGGATGTGGCCCCTACAGGCAAATTCAGCCAGACATCCACGCTGAGCAGCAGTCTGACTGGTGAGAGCTGCTGCCCATGGGTGGGGGTGGGGAACTGGGAGGGTAGGAAGTGTCAGGTCTGGTTGGATCAAGATCCCTGAAAAGAGAATTTAGAATTGTCTAGGGAAGAACTCTTGCTGGTTTGAGGGAGAGGGGTTAGGGAATGCCAGGTGACTGAGGGTGTGTAGAAGGAGCAGGTGACTGACGGAAGGGAGGATTCCAGGGACAGTAGGAACCCCAGAGGCTGGAAATGGCGAGCTGGAGGTCCCAGCGTAGGCTTCACTCTTGCCTTGACTCCATCTCCATCCGTGCTGTGATGAGATTCCTCCAGCCCCAGCCACCCTTCCCAGAGAAAGGGCTTCCAGAAAGCTAAAACGACCCATGAACTGAGATCTGGGGGCTGGAGGGTGTAAACTGAAGCGGGAGCCTACTCCTGCCCACCTCCTCGTGTCTTTGCCAGGTGAGAAGGGAGCAGAAAGGATAGCCTGGAGTCTGGATCGCCTTGCAAGTCACCAGCCATGCCTGCTCCTCTGCTCCCGCTGCTGCTCCGCACACTGCTGGCCCGCCTGCTGCTGCCTGCTGCCCGCCTGGCCCGCCAGCACCTCCTGCCCCTGCTGCGCCGGCTGGCCCGCCGCCTGGGCTCCCAGGATTTGCGAGAGGCTTTGCTGGGCTGTCTGTTGTTCGTCCTCAGTCAGAGACGCCCGCCGGACACTGGGGAGACTTCCAGGGTGGCCCGCCTGGAGAGGAGGGAGAGGCTAGCCTCCCAAAAATGAGGCCATGAATCCTGGTAGCAGCTGTGCCCCCTGAAATGCTTTATTTCGGAGTTAAGACAGTCCTGGCTCCATCACTGACTGTAGCCTGCCCAGTGGGCAGAAGACGTGGTGGGGGACTGAGCATGAGAGGGGTCCAGCTAGGACATGGCCCCCCCTCCCAGCAGAAAGGATTGGCAGGATGCTCTGCTTCCAGAAAACGGATCACCATCCCTCCCTCCCTGCATTCTTCCCTGCATTCTAATCACCTCTGGCCCCTGGAGGGAGGGGAACTGACACTCCACCACCCAGGCAAAGGGAGACCAGAGGTCCAAAGAAGAACAATGCTTAACCCTGGGACAATGGACAATTCGGCTAATCCAGACTGTCTCTGGTTTGAGATTTCCCAAGTAATAACTTGGTTCCCTAGGGAGTTAGTCCTGCCCCCAAAGCCCAGTATGCAATAGGGGCTCAATAAAGAATTTGTTGCCTTTAATTCTTAGGATGCCTTTGACAGTCCTGTTACACTCCTGCACTGCAGGACAGTCGAAACTGTCCAGAGGAGAACGGGTGGGGGAACACCTCAAGCCTTCCTTTTGCTACCTCTGTCATTGTCCCTCTCAGTCCCAATGCCCTGGAAGCTGTTTCTAACTTGAATGTCTCACACTGGGAGCCAGCAGTCTTGGGTCTTGCTGGCAGCTCAAGGTAAGGAGGTTAATGTGCTCCACCAAGTGTGGACATTCTTCTCAGCTAGTGGTGTGGGAAGAGGGAGATCTGTTTTCGGAGGGACCCTGTGGGCAGAACCCCAGAGAAGCAGCCTAGAAATGCATACCCCTGAGGGGTACTCTGCCCAGGATGGTATCTAGGGGGTACAGGGTAGGTGGCATGTGATCTGAGGAATTCACCTCTTCATTTCTCCTCTCCAGTGGGAGGCCCCTTGGGGATCTCAAACAAGAGTTGTCAGAGGCAATTTGCATACCTGCTTCCAGATAATTTGCTTACAGTTCTGCAACACTCCTCCCTCCTACCCGCCTCCACCCAGCCCTGGGCTCCCGGTTCAAAGCGATAAAGTGAGGACGACAGGCGACAAGCCCCTTTCAGGACTCTCACCCTGTCTGCACACCCCGTTAGAAGGCTGGCCTGGGGAAAAGACTCGAGATCAGAGCTGTGGGCCCCCAAGCCGACCCCGCGGGGCTTTCCGCCAGACCCCGCCTCCCCACGCCCGGACACCATTTGCTTCCTCCTGGAGTCATCAAAAGCCAGTGCACGTGCTCGCGCCCCACCCCCGCCCACTCAGAGAGGTAGCCTGGGGAGGGGCGGGGTGAAGGAGATTCGAACCCCTGGTCCCTTCCAAGGCCTCGGGCGCCTTATTTATTCAGCCCACTCCAGGCTTCTCCTCCCGCTGGCCTCCCGGAGAGTTCCTCTTTCGGAAGTCTGCAACCGTGTGCGGGGCGGACGCCGGGGTAGTACGCTGCAGCCCCTTCCCCGCCCGGTGGTACAGAAGGGTCAGACCCGGCGCTGTCTGCAGTTCCCGGCCACGGCGACGACACCAGTCCCGCAGGGAGGAGGCCAAACGGGGACCAGGGGCCAACTGGCCTGGGAACTTCCGTCCCGGCTCCCTGACACCGGAGCCCCCCCGGGGAAGTCCCAGCAGGTGCGCGGGCAGCAGAGGCGGGCAGCGGCGAGGGGCGGGGCAGCGGGAGGGGGCGGGGCCTGCTGTTTCCCGGGCGGGCGGGGCGGGGCGGGGCGAGGCGGAGAACGGAGTGGGCGGGGCTCTCGTGGGGTGGTGGAAATCAACGGAGTTTGCATCTGCGGTTTCTGGCGGACTTTGGAGGCCGTGGTGAGATGACTGCCCTCCCCTAATCACTTGCAGATGTGTCCAGGGTCAGAGACCTCGGAGCCAAGGATGGGGCAGAGGTCTGAGACAGGAAGCTGGAAAACCAAGTCCAGTCTTCCTGAACCCTGACCCCTTTACACACCCAATAATGAAGGTGAAGGACTTGAGGTATCTGACTGAGAGGGCTGGATTCTGTCTTCATCTTAGCTGATATTTTGTTCTTCATGGATTTTTGTTTCTTTCATTAACTTTAATTTTTTAAAAAATATTGTATTAACACATTATTTATCTGGATTCTGGAATATTTGGGCTCCCCCTTAAATATTGCACCTCAGGCAAGTTGCCTCTTTGGCCCCTCTCTGGCCCCAGCCCTGCCGCAAGGCCATGGAGATAGAGTCACAAACACAACTGAGAACATACAGTCATGAGACACGTTGGTGACAAACTGCAGAGCCAAGCAAACACTGAGCAAACGCAGATGGAGGCAGGGCTAAGAAAAGATAGGACTGTATGTTCGAGGTGATGAGGCACCCTTGGGGCCTGGAAGGGGGAGGCGGGAGTCACAGGTCACAGCCTCACAGAGGTGGGGGATCGGGTGGGGGTGGGGGTGCAGCTGGGTCAGCGCTTCACACCCTACTCCTGGACCCAGGACCTGAGGGAGCCAAAAGACTGGGCAGCGAATGGCTGGGCCTGGTGGGCCCAGGCCACTGTGAGTTGGGCTCTGAGGCTGTCCAGCAGAGAGCCCTGGCCCTCAGCAGCCATCCCTGTGTAGACAGGCGGTGCTGGAGGGGTATGGGTGCTGGCTGGGGGCCCAGGCGAGGAGAGTGCCAGACAGGCTTCTGTCCAGCAATAACAGCCCTGCCTGCTGCCGTCTACTAGCAGGCTAGGCTTCAGCGGGGGTGGGGAGGGGAACCAGCCTTCCCCTGTCTGGCCTGGGACCCTCACCACTTCCTCCCAGTCTCTTTCCACTTCCAGCCCCCTTTGCACACAGCAGCCACTGGCCGCCAGCCTGGCCATGCATGCCGGATCCATTTGGCCACTAAAGCCTGCCACCCCCACAGGCTCAGAGACGGGAAATGAGCATGGGCAGAGAGACAGGGGCCAAGAAAAAGGGGAGAGGAGGGCCCGGAGAGGATGAAAGAGGCTGGACAAACACAGGGTAGGAATTGGGTGGGGGAGACCCAAACATGAAGCTGCCCTCAAGCTGTGGGGCAGTGCCTAGATAAACACTACTCATATCCCTCTTCCTGCCCTCTGCTGGTTAAGGCCGGGGGATGATGGTGTATCATGCCTCCGTGGGTTTCCGAGCCAGTAGGCTGGCAACAGCTCTTCTGAGTATCTTGGGGTGAATCCACTGATCAGTCCTAAGAAGAAAAATTACCCTTTGCCTCAAAGCCCAGTCTGTTCACTGGAGAGAGGGTGTTAGTACTAACATCCCTATGATGTTAGTACTGCTAATTGTTAATTAGTGTCTGTGACTTTCTCCAGGGTAAAAGCCTCTTGGGTAATTGGGTTAAAGGAGTGGGGCTGGACTGGATTTTCTCTCCTCAGCATCTCTCTAGCCTTTGGATCGTCCTCCTGTACTGAGGGCTGCTGCAGGGGCAGTGATTCCCCTATCCCCTACATTTACTGACCAACCAAAAAGGAGGGAATCCTTCCTCCTTCCTTGCAGGTACAAGAAGGACTAATCATCCCTCAGCGTGCCCACCCCCTTCCTCCTCAGATTGGGAGGATGCGGGGCTCAGCAAGGCTTCCCTCGCTGAGTATTAAGGATTACAGGATTCACTCAGGATGTAAGACTTTTCCCGTTCCCAGCAGTATCTTAGCTTTTCCAAAGTTCTGGATTTAGAAAGGGTGAATCATAAGAGGGCTAGAGTAGGGCTGCCACCCCCTCCCCCAACCTTCTCCCCCACCCCCTACACACATCTCTCTCTAAATCACAGTTGTGGGTGAGCGGATCTGTAAGTGTTCGAGGTGGGAAAACCCTGGTCACCCATCACACTGATTCGGTCAGAGGGATGCCCGGCATGGGGACTGAGAGGATAGTTCCAAACGAAGAAAGTGCTCTGAAAAGGGAAGGGGGCGCTGGAAAGGAAAAAGGTGCTGTGGGAGAGTGGTGTATGTAGGAGGCAACTTCGCGAGCCATAACGGAACATCTGAGACGGTGTTTGGACGGGGCGGAGCGGGGAGGGTGGGGGGCTCCGGATCTGCCTGAGCAGGTTTGTCGCTGGGAGAGTCCCGAGACGGCCGTGTAGGAGTTTGTGTAACCCCAGCCAGGAGACCAGGGATGTACTCAGCCCCACGTGCTCCGTGATGGGGCAGCGTTTGGCGGGGCAAGGCCCCCAGAGGTCCAGTATACAGAAATAGTACAAAGGGTGGGCCAGGCAGGTACGGGGTCTTGGTTCTGGGGGTCCCTTGTTGCTCCCGGCAGGCGTGCGGGGGGCGGGGTGAGGGCGGGGCCGCGGCGAGCGCCGGGGAGCGGATGCGGGCGGGGGCGCGCCGGGGCGGGGCGAGCGGAGGGCGGGTTTGAATGTGCTCGGGCGGGCGCGGGAAGCGGCCCGGGAGAGCGCGCAGGCCTCCACGCGGGAGAACTCCTTCCCAGCAGGTGCTGCCCGAGGGGTGAGAGGGGGCCGGGGGTCGCCGGGGCGGAAGGCGCACCGCTTTTGCCTCCTGCCACGCGGGCAGGGAGGCTGGGCCTGGCAGCTGCGCCGCCGGGACTGGGGGATGCGGGGTGGGGCCCCCGTGCGGAGCCGCGCAGCACGTGGCGCGCCGGGGCCCCGGCATAGGGTTACTGTGCGGGGACCTGGACCCCAGCAGGCGGGGACGACCTGGCTACCGGGCCTGAAACTGCCTGTCGCCGAGCTGACCTCCCCAAGGGGCGGGCGAGTTGAAGGTTAATCTCGATCAATCTCGTCGTTGGTACTGGGGAGGGGCCTCACCGTTAACTGCGCCGGGTAAGGGGAATGGACAGGAGAGCACGCGGAGTGGAGGTGGAGGCCTGTCTCTTTAACACCCGGCCTTTTATTGGCCGAACCCGTGTACCTGGCCTCCCTCCCTTGCTGGGCGCGTCCTCGTTTATTCCCAGAGAGAACACCCTTGCTTCACTTTAAAGGACATCCCAGATTTTCTTCCCAGGGGAGAGCTGTGGCTGATGAAGGCTGCTCCCACCCCTGCCCCTCACCCCTGTTGGGGCCACTCCTTTGCCCGTTCCTCTCGGTCACGGTCACCTCCAGATCCTCTTGCCTTTTCTTCCTGTCTGTGTGAGCTCTCTTTGCCAGG